GATCTGTGAGAGTCTTGGAAGGTGGAAGGCATGTAGGCTTCTACATTCTCTTACACTTTCTGTAAAGATACACAAATAATTGAATAGTTAGTTCCTAAAAAAAAAATGTACACAATATTATTTTTGGAGTCACATTAGGATATCTTTCCTATAAAAGAAAAAAACTGAAACAAACCAGCTTTATAAGTCAGGAGCTTTATTCAGGCACTCAGTTTTTGTGGGTGAAAGCCTGTGCCTCTCTCGTCACTCTACCAGCATGAGCCAGCCCTGCTGACTTAGTGGACAGGCTCTGGCCAAACACAGCTTTATCTAGAGTAGCTTTCCTTTTAAGAATACTTGGATTCAGCCTCATTTACATAGTTCAGGTGATGAATGGAAGATATACTATTCTTAGAAGAACTGGTTTTAGCCAGCAAATAGCTCAGCTGGAGTGAGAGATTCTTAGGGAGTCAGGCAAGAAAGCCCACAACCTTTTATGTATGCTGCTCATATCAATGATCTGCAGAGCTCAGGAGTGCTGGAAGCCAGCTAGGCACACAAGAGGGATGAAAGTCTGCCTAGTTTTTCACAGTGACTGGTTTGCAGGTTTAATCTTCTGAGACAAAGCAGGCTCTTGTCTGAGACCCTGGAAGATGCAGGTTACTACCTTATATTCAAACAGGTTTTGTTCTGCTTTGGGGAAATAAAGAAAAGATCTCTGAGAAAAGGAACCTAGAAAATTAGACTTTGAAGAGCATTCCTTGGTAGACAAAGTAAAGCATCAGAAAGCAACAATGCATGGTTGTTAAGACCAGATTTTGTGCCTGCAAACTTCTTTTCTTTGGTTACCCATACGAAAAAGGGAAGATTAAATTTAATGGCAGATTTAAGGAGAGCAGACAAAATATAGAGGAAAGAACCTATAAACCCAACATACTAAGGCCTGGAACATTTTCCAGCTCTCATATGAGACTTAGCCTCCAGGGAAAAAATATGCACGTGTAGCCCGACAATTCATTTTGAAACAGGACTAAAAACTGTTTCCTTTAATCATGTTTACTTCAGACATGAGGAAACCTGAGAAGATCAATCTCTTATAAATGGCCCAGGAACATTCCAGAAGCTTATGCCCCATATCACCCACAGCACCTGTAACAGAGCCCTGGCTTTTTGCAATGCAATTATTTATCAAAGCAGCACCTAACACACCTGACTGATGGCATGCAAAACAGAACTTATTGCTTTTTCCTGGCAGTATCTTGCTGATGGTTACTGAGCCTTTCACTTCTTCAATCCCAAGCTAACTATGAAACCTGGAACCATCTGCAAGAATCATTAAAAGATTTAGCTTGCTTTGACAAAAATGAGTAAGACTGAAGTTTACAAACTGAAGTCAGATACAAATAAGGGGTTCTCTCGTGTTCCAGAGACATCTTGGGAGGGTTGAAAGGAGAAAAGCATGTCTGACACAGTACCTGGAGGCTTTACCATGTGCAGCACACATGCTGCATCACCACACTATTTCCTGCTATCCAGGGAGGCAAACAGTGACAATTTTGACACCTATTCTACTGATGTGGCTTTTGATCTTGTCCAACACTGCTACAGGGGGCAGGAGGAAGAGAGGCTCCTTGGATCCCTTTGCAATGCTCAGACCCCACCTGGAACGTGGAGCTCTGGGTACTGCTGGGGATTCTGCAGCCCAGTGCAATGGCTCAGGAGCCCAGGCACAATGGGAGATTTCAGTCTGCTGCCCAGATACCCAGGGCCTTCTTTGACATTAATGCCTGTCCATTTGCTGCTCTGCATCCCTTGCAAGGCTCACAGATAAAATAACCATAGTTTAGCTCTTTATTTACTGCAAAAGATGCTAGTGACTTTCCTTAGTCAAAATAAAATAATTCAGAAATCAGCCCAGTACAAGCACAACATGAATAAATGATCTCAGAAAAAGATTTATCTGATTATTCAACAGCAAGGCTTTATCCATCAGTTACCTGCTTTATGTTAAACTGTCACTCGTTTCTTATCATCCTGCCATAAAGGAGAAATTTTCTTTTAAACACCCTGCTTGCATGACTGTCATCATTACTACAAAGAGTAACAGTTATACTATTAAATTGCCCAAGAGAACTTTTCAACACATATAAAAGGCACCTGTGAGCTGATAGGCAGCAGATGGGCACACAGCTTATGGAACTGACTGGCAGCAAGGGGAACAGCTTTCAGGGGCTGTCTTCTTCACTTGCTTCTGCTTTACTCATTTTTATATGCATGGCTGAGCCTATTGTTTGCCCTGTGCATACTGTATTTCCATAACTCATGCTGAAAAAACTCTCCTCCTTTAACTTTTAACTCCTTTAACTTTTTTTTAACTCCTAATATATTCCACATTCTACAACCTGTTGCTGCCAGCTCTCACCATACTATCACAATGTGCCTGTACCATGTGCTCTTTTCAAGCTTCTGGCTCCTGCAGTCATCACATTTATATGTGAAGGCCATTTCCAAGACCCAGTTGAACAAGAGAGCAAATTAAGACCACCATCATTTCTTAAGAGCATTTAAAAATAACCTTATAACTTTATGGGGCTGAGATGCATTTTTTGGCAAACCGATTCAGTGGGAATTGGAAATGGAAATTGGTGCTGCTTAGTAGCACAGCATTGTGCTACTAAGCAGCAGGAATTAATCCTGTCTTTGGGTCTCACAAACGTGGCAGGCGTGCACATCTTCCTTCAAGATTTCCACCTAAGAGTTCATGACTTTAGAAGCCTCACATTGGCCTCGCTGAAGATGAACTTCTTGCAGCCATTACTCCTGACTGTCAGATAGTGTTCAATCCACCTATCTCAGTTCTCATGATGGAGGGTTGTGATCTGGAGCACCAGCACATTTTTTGGTCTTAGCAGAAGACAGTGAGCTGAGTATTCCTGCCTCAGCTCTGATTTTGTTGCTCTGTAAGCATTAGCAAATCTCCACTCTGCAGCTGTGGATTCCTTGCTCTGCCAGTGGTTGTGGGTGTAATGCAATCCTACTGTATCGGCCATAAAAAAATCACCCAGGATTAATCCGTCAGGTGAGATGCTGTGGGCCTTACTCTTCCACTGAGTTCAACAGGCTGGCTCACCTTCTTGCTTAGTGTGCTATAAATAAAGAATAACTGTGTGACATAACACATTGTGAAGTGTATTCACAATGACTGTGGGGTGGCTTGTACTGGGTTTACAGCGTAACGCTTTCTGATGCGTGGAAGGGATCCTTAACACCTTTTGTGGGGAGAGTATTCTCTGCATAAATCTATCTCCTTTTGTTTCAGAGGACTCAAGATGTTAAGTCATAGGAGAATTTCATGTTTAGGTGCAAGAGGAAAGTATACTTTCAGGGCTTTGCATCTTCTGGATGCTCATATTGAGATTCAGTGAAGCCTAGAATACCAATTTTGCTCTTTTGTTTTTCTTCTCCTTCCTCCATATAGTCTTACTTTTCTAAGAGGCACTGGAGTGATAGCTGTACTTTCTTTTGTACTGAGTCTACTACTGTACAGCAATCATTTTTAATTTCTCCCCATAAGGTCAAAACAATATATAGGGAGTGCAAAATCTAATAACATGTTGAAATAGATATTGAGCCTCTCCTGCTTCACTGGAGTTCTACATTCTGCAAAGTCAGTTAGAGGGGATTTCAACACAGTTAGAAATGTGTATTTCTAAAATAATAAACTGTATCTTAGGAAAACTTCCAAGTCCTGACAATTCCAAGACACTGTATTTAGTGATGCACAAAATAATAAGTGGTCTGATCTAACCCCAAAGTTAAACTGAACCATTTTAAAGGAGTTTTCCATGGCTTTTATAACTCTTTTCCCTTGACCCAATACACATCTGGTTCTAGTTGGCACTAAAAGAAAGATGTATTTAAATGTCATGACAAAGGCTAATCTTGTATTTCTGCCTTGTTGGGAGACAGGAAGTACTAGAAATCTCATAAGATTCTCCTTGGACATCTATCCCCTTTTTACATAGTCAAGTGATTTACGTAGCTCTGAGAAGAATTCAAATTTTTGTGTTAGCTGAACTGACCCTCTCAACCTCCAGAGGATCATTCATCACTAGGTAGAGTTTAATTGAAGACATTGGAAAGGCTGTTCTGTCCTGCCTCCATGGCTTCAGCCAGCCATGAAGGTCTTGATCTTTTGTATCTTTGCTCTTTTTGCTAGGAAAATCCAATAAATGAAATACTAGTTAAGAACACTTTTAGACAGGGGAAAGAAGTGGTGCATTATTCAAGATGGTAGAGAAAGAAAATAAAATTGGTTCAATTCCTGTGATTCCACACTAATCTTTACATTTAATTTATGAGTTAAACTCAGGTAGATCTGAGTAAAAGTAGCAAAATTAAGATGGATACTGGGACAGCTAAATATTTACCAGTATTTACTACAATTCATCTACAGAAAACCCTTGAAGTGGGGTTTTATTTTCCATATATGGCCTAGTTTCTGTTTGCAGTATTGACACAGCCCCTTGAATGTTTGTGAAGTGCTGGACTGCAAGTGTTTAAGATTCCATGAAAACCAATTGGAATGAGTTGCTGAACTTACATTCAAAATGGCAGATGGTTTTCAAGTGACTTAAACACTTTTGAACATTCAACCCATGAGCCACTTCTGCAATGATGCTGCAAGGTGATGCATATGTACTTTCATAAGAGGAAAATCTGACACCAAAGCTTGGCCATGGCTACAAGGAAAGGCTCACAGTGAACTGAGAAACTGAACCTCCCTGCATGCACTGTGATGTTCAGATCATGCTTCTCTTTATTTACCTTACCACATGCACAGGAAAAGGCACGCCTACCAGTGAGGGAGTACTGGTGTTTCACAAGTCTTATCTTCTCAGCAGGTTCTGCTGGCATACTTGTGGCAGGACAGAACTCACAGCATGTATAGGTGCTAGTGGAAGAACACGTTAATATTTAAAGTAGGCAAAAAACAATCTGTGAAGAATACGTTAATTTACCTTTCTGATCTTCTTTTTTTCCTTCTGATGCTTTCTCTGATAAAGTGCCATTATTTCCACTGGCTTTTACCACATTTTCTTCCTGTATGGTTTCTTCACCAATGGCTACGGTGTGTCCATTTGAAGTTTCAAAATTTACTGTTACATCACCATCTGAAATGAAAATTAAAAAGTCTTTGCCCAGTTTAACTTCTTACTTAGCACCTACTTACAACACACAGCATCTCTCTGCTTTCAAGCTTCTGTGGAAGAAAAGCAGGAAGACTTACTGAAATGTGAAACATCAGGATCTAGGATCTGCTCTGGAAAGTAACTCTGTAAAGAAACTCTATAGGCTTTCATGTTCTTCGGGTAGACACCTCTGCAGTAGTAGGCTTGGAAGTCCATGCTGGTTTCCTTCTTCATGTCCGTTCATGAGCATCCTGTTCTCTTATCCCTGCAGCTTGGTTTACAGAGCAAAGAAACGTGTGCATGGAGCACAACAAAGCTGTAACATGTTCCAGCATGTTCCAAAAATGGACTAGAGGCAGGGAGAGCTGCAGAAGTACTGTGATGCACTCTCAGCATGTAAATGAGCCAGGAATTCTGACATAAGTTCTCAAAATGTATGTCCCATTTATTTAATAAAAAAATATGCTACAAAGACATCATCCAGTCTTAAGAACCAATGTGAAGTCTTCCTGTATCATACATCATATCATAATTAAATTCTGCAAGTCAAATTCTTCCTCAGCTCTGATGATACTTTACTCACTTACCCAGACTAGCTCAGCTTCAGAGTTTTTCTGATTCTGAAAAAAACTTATTCCCCTATTTGTCTCTTTATTGCTGAAAAGTGCTATTCTTGCTGGCTTACAGCTTTCTCTGTTCCATGCACTTTAAAGTTGCTGCTGATTTTCTTCTCTGGTAATTTCTTTCTGCAGGATTCACTTGCTGTCAATCCAAAAAGTAAGCAAATCTACATGGCATCTCTTCTGATTTCTCCCATTGATTCTTCACTAACTGTGGCAATTCCACTTCTCTTCCTTGCTGTGTGCTATCAGACCTGGATGTTTGGCACTTCCCTTGTTTCAGCACAATTATGCAGCCTCTGTCCTACCACCTTGGGTGCTCCCACTCCGGTGATTGTTTCTTCACCTTCCGCACACTAACATCAGCTTGATTTGTAAAAAATGAGTTCTGCTTTCCTAACTTTGTCTAATTTACTACAGCTGACACTTGTACTTACCTTAACTGCAACATTCAGTTTCTTCAGCTTCTCTCTTCCAGGGCTTCTTAAATCCACTCTCTCCTCTCCACCTCCATAAATGACACTGCCACCTCTTCTTGCTTCTGCAAACACCTCCTGCTTCCACGTGGCACTTGCCACTTTCCACTTCATTCTTCTTCACTCCGTGTGATACGCTGTCACTTCTTCACATTTCTTACCTCTCACCTTTCAAGTATCCGTGTAATTTCCTCTTTTAGCTTTCATCCCCATAGTCATTCCTTCTAACTACCTTCACACTCCTTAACTGTCTTTCCTACCTCTCTATTTTTAGCACCTTCAAACCAGCCCCATATTCTTTCAAAATGTCCTCAAAAATTACCATTTTCATCAAACATGAACACAATGTGATGAAGATAACACAGACCAGATTGACATGGGAGGAAGAAAAGGAAATTGTTCATATTTATATCCTTTTCTCACTTTGCTTGATCCCTGTAAGGAACCCAAAGTCCCATTCCCTTTAAGAATGGAAGAGAGGGTCAAGGACACTGATGACCAAAGTATTCATACTTTTATCACAAATTATAGTATTTATGTTCAGACTGTAATCAACCAGAGAAGTTATCACATTTCATTAAGTGGTAATAATTTCAATAATACAATTTCCAACCTTCAAAGGACAAGGTCACACAGGTCCCCCAGTAAAGCACATGGCAAAACCCACAACAAATCCAAAGATGGACAAACTGAGTTTACAAGTCTTGTTTCAAGACAATGACAGTAGCAGAGACAAGTGCAGAAGCCAGCCATGCTGAATGTCATAGTCTGATAATTAGCCAAACTCTGTTATGGACACGGATGTCACACATCAACAAACAGACCCTTTACTTCTAAGTATCTATGGGTATGATACAACCCATACACACTGATACTTTACTGATTCTTCAGATCACACAGAAAAATACCATTTCTAGGAGAAAATTATTTTTGGAAAATGTGGAGTTCTTAGACTCCATGATAAAATGACAAATGGTTTAATTTAAGCTACAGAAAATTATTTTACTCACTTGACTTTCATTTGATCTATATTTATAAAAGATGAAGATTATTAGAGAGAATACCACTAGAAACATAATTGGATGTAGCAAAGAGGTATCTACTTTGGCTTACTCATGCTTTTCAAAATGTAGAATCTTGCTAATGCCAGTTACTAAACCTTAGAGCATTTTGAAACAAGTGATTTCTTGCCCACTGTTTTATGCTGATGCCATTTGTGATTGTGTGATAGTGGTTGGATCCATATGATCCCAGCACTGGTACTTTTTGATAACTGAAATACATTATATTGATTTTTTTCTGGGTTCCAAAGCCCCTAATTTTTCAGCCAAAATTTCTCATTTTATACTCTAGTGGCTTTAGACAGCAGACCTTGACTCAGAAATAGATTTATCACTAATTAGAAAAAATTCTGGCAAACAATAAGCAGGAGCCACAGAAATCACATTATTTACAGGGAGCATTAAAATACTTCAGGATATGACCAGAGGTCAGCTGGGGCACCTATGGCAGAAGCAGTTACAGAGCACAAATCCCTTGACTTAACTTCAGTTTTCACGTAGCCCAAATTACCTCTCACCCTTCTCAGCTGATCTCCTCATACCTATTTATACTATATGGAAACAGTGCAACAGTGGCTTTATCATACATGTTTAGTGCTTAGTAGCTAAATTCTAGTTAATGCATTATCACCTTGCTCAGGCATTTCCTTCAGCACTCCCCTTCTTATCAGCTCCTCTCTGCTTTGTCTTGTCGAAATCTTCCTTTCCAACACTAAAGAAAAAGCACAGTTAAGAATAGATTTATTCTCATACTCCTGATTATTGTGAAAAAGTGTAGAGAACTATTTTTATTTTATAGAATAAGAACTCTTGGTTCCTCTCGTTCTGCTGAAGAAATTGTCTGGGTTTTCTTGGACGGTCTCTGAAAATATTGCCCTGCAATTTCAGGCACAGAAAGTGGGGACTCATATAATCCAATACCTTCAGCTCAGCAAGTCTCCTGAGGCTTCTTTTATGGTCAGTGGAAAAAGGTATTTTCAGGGTGAAATTAACTCATCCTAGCATAGGCATTTAACATGTAAAAGTACCTTTTCCCCACCGACTAGACTGAGTAGCTCAGCTGCAGATACCTTCATCTGCTTTGTACAGGTTTTGAGTAGTGAGAAAAACCCTGCTCAGAGAAAGCAACTCACAGAGTAGCCGATGTGACAGGCAAGCTATTTAAAGGAAAAAAAAACCAACAAAAACAACCTTTAACAGAAGCCAGAAAGCTGTGTTCTAAAAGGAAATAACATACGCATCGATTGATGCTGGTTGACTTTCATGGAAAAGAAATACAGCATCCTGGTTTTAGGTCAAAAAAAAAACCCAAACCAACTCTATACACAAAAACCCCAAGACTGTGGCACGAAGCATTCTAATTATTATGTTTATTTCCCATGGGAAAAATGCTGAATAGTTTTATAGGGAAAAGCATTTACAGATGTTAGAACAGAATAGCTCCACATTACATCCCATCCTCAAACTGATGCAGTGACCTGGGAGATTATTGTAATGATCCATGGGACCATGGTGCATAATGGTCACAAAATGTGAGCATCACTTGTAAAGTCCTGACTTCCCTGTTAGGAAAAGGTAGTCTCATAGTCTCCCATCCTGATTCTGTTTACATACAGACATCAAAATCCATGTGAAGTTCAGACCTCATACCAGCCAGCCTCCTTGGGGAGAGTGTGGTAGCCTGAACTCTGATCAAGTTAGGCTGCCTTGGGTCCCACACCTAAATTACTCACAAGTTCTTCCAGTTTCTGGAAGAGAAATTGTATTTCCCTGTGTTTTTTAAAGCATGTGCCTTGTCACATACATTGGCACAGGAACACACCCTAGGCTTGCAAAGTTTTTCATGTAGGGGACTGTTTTAAATACTGTTTTAAAAGAGATGGGTGGTCACGAAGACAGAGGACTATGTGGCCAGGCATGGATGGGGTGTCTGGGTCCTTCTAGAGAGCAGGTGCATTCACAAGCAGGGTGAAATTTCCTTTGACACAGCCCTGAAGGATGAGCACCTTACACATGCACTTTATACTTGTTTTGTTGCTGGCACTCTAAATGTTATTTTATTACTATTTCTACTATTTATTTTTATTACTATTATTTTATTACTATTATTTTATAACTATTATAAATGTTATTTAATTCCCACTCTTTTTTTCCTTTCTGCTTCCTTTTTACATCTCTTTTCTTGGGGACAGTGAAATGAGATGATCTCTTACATATCTGTAGGACAATTCAGTGCCACCTGAAAACCATAATGCTTTTTCCAGCAAGTTAAGAACATTGACTCAGACCTTCCCCCATCAATGCCTCTCTCTCGTTTGCAGAATGATATTTTTTTTCAGTCCTACAACACTGAATTAACCACTGTATTGAATTAATTATCATGGGAAATGCCAATTGTCATTAAAAGGCATGAACCCCTTACACTTCAACTAAAAAACCTCAAAGCATTTCATAAATTACACAGGTTTCATAACAACCCTGAGACATAGTTATCCCCATTTCACATATTTGAAAATTTGTGAACAGATAAGAAGCTTAAGTCCCAGTCCTCTATCTTCTAAAATGCTAGCCACGATTGGTGGTTTTATTTAAACTGATTAAGCTCAATTAATTCAGCTTGAAAAGCTAATTTATTTTAAACACTATTTGGCCCATGGAAAGAACATTTAAAAAATCAAGCTAGTGCTCATTACTAGTACAAAGAAAAAGGCAGAATCTTAATTTGAATCAAAGTGGCAAAAATATGTCCCCTTGTATAAGAGGAATGAGCAGCCTGCCAACTTAGGAACTTATAGTGGGCGTTATTCAGTCAGTGTGGACTCATCATAATAATCTATGGTTTATTGCCCATTATGCAACATATTTGGTTTATTTTAGATTATGCAATATATTTCACATTTACATAGTAAATGTGTAATTTAAAATACAAACGTATTTTGTACCATCCTGTCACCCAGAACCATCGTTCAAACATTTCCTGACTTCTGAATGCTTGACTTTGTATCATTTTAGGAGAGCTTACTGAAACACAACAGTAGCCAAAAGTAATTAGCTCAGCAGACTGCTTTGAGATTCTTAAAACTCTGTGCAATTAGGCTGAGTGACCAGCTGACCAACTATCAGCACAAATCTTCTTATAACTTTAGGCAATAATAAAATGGGAAGAACAGTTTTTCCATCTGTGTACATGTAAGTATTGAGATTTTTTACAAAGACATCAGTTCTGACTGCGAGGGTAACTGGTTATGAGTCCTTGCCTACTGAAGAAGGCTGAGGTGAGGCAGGCAGGCAGTCTCCAGTCTCATGATCCAGAAGAATCAGAAAATCCCAGGAAAAATCCTTCCCCTGCTGCAGCCAGCAGCAGAACTTGCCCTGACTTCAGGTGTAACCATCAGAAAGGTTGCAAATTTATTGTATTGTACGAAGCCCTCATTTACTCCAGTAAATCTTACTCCCCTTCACAAATATTTGCTTTTTTGCCCAATACAAATAATAGTAACACTAATAATGGGAACAGTTTACCTCAAAAAGCAGCTTCTCTCTCTCTCCCCTTCCTCATCCCCACAAAAAAGACTGCTTAGTGATGGTCAGCAGCTGCAAACCTCAGGCAGTCTGAAAACCCGTTCTTTGACTTGAAGAGTGCTGTGAGATTCTGGATATCCTCCAGTGCTTAGTTTTGTTCTTCTAAGTGAAGCTTGAGAGAATTCCGATTATTAATTTTTCTCTGACCTAGTAAGAGCTAAAATGGCCTTCTGATCCCTCTCTGTATATACTTTTGCAGTGAAGCTTTGAAGTGGCATCTACTTTGTGCCAAGACACAAACTGCTGTCTTTTCCTTTGCAGCAAAGCATTGCAGAGAAACATCTCAAGAAACCCTTGAGATGATGGCATTTTATGTTTGTTTTTCCTTGATTCTGAAAGCTCTCTAGGCAAAAAGCATACAGCCAGTGCCCAAATAACAGACTTTCTGAGAGAGAGCATGGAAAACACATTGCTAAAGGGGAAAATCCCAACCATCATTCCCACATTGGCACAGATATTAACATCTGATATCTAAACATCCCTCCTTTTTAATGCTTGTGGTATTTGCTCCTTTACGAACATCTTCCAGTTGCTCCTAAGACAAAAAGCGCTCCACGGTACATGTCCTGGCAAGGCCGTAGCAAGAACCTATTTCAAAAAGCCTATTGAAAACCCAGAGAAAGTAGTGAGGGTTCCTTCCAATAGCCCACATTCTGTTTTAGAAGAAACCCTTTCTTCAGCTGCATGTGGATTTACCACGCTGAAGCCCTGTTAAGGGAACTGGCAATAGATGAGGATCGTCGTGCTCTTTCCCATGGTCCCAGGCCAGGAAATGGGCTTCCTGCATGTAAGAGGCAGGCACACACACAGCCCCCCCTTGGTAATGAAAATACACCTCTGATTGAGTAGTGTGAGGAAGAGGATATCCTGTAGGATTTTTATTTTGAATGGACGTCTTCCCATTTCCTTCTCAAGTCAGATAAGCAAGTTTCTTCTGCCGTGTCACTAAGCAAGCAGCAAGGGGCAGCTTGCCACGTCAATGCCTCTTCCCAGTCTCCATTGGTCCTGGGTCTATTTCCTCAAGAAATACAGGGAATACTATTTTTATTCATCCCTGAAATTACCATCTAAGGCAGGATGAATGCAATTCAGACTACTTCTCAATTCAAGTTCCAGCCTCACACGAAGCACATACACAAACACAAGTGATGCATGAACAGTTTAAAAGCAAATCAGTATCTTGAGGGACCACAACATCATGAACAAGACCAGCAAATTAAGTAGAATAAGTAGCTGAGGAGGCACTTTTGAAAATGTTGACCTTAATTTCTTTGTGCTTAATTTCCTGCTTTTGTGAAAGAAATATAACACATCCTCTGCTTTGGTATTGTAAGAATTGAGGTGTCATGCTTGCAAGACTGGATTCAGGCCCTCGGAAGAAAGACAGTACAACATAAGAAATACAACCTTTAACATGAACTTACCAGATATTAGTTTTTTAAAAAATAATTTTAATATTATGCATGCATTATTATTTAATAGCATAACAGTTTAGCACATGCTAATAGGTTGTGAAAGTTTAGGAAATCTCTATATACACAGCTTATGAATGGTCATTACTCTGAAGAACTTGTTGTATATAAAATCACACACCTATCCAGGAGAAGCTGCAGAACACAAGAATCATTAACTAGAAATAACTTTGCTTTAGCAATATGATAAAAGTACTGGGAAAGCTGAAGGAAATGGGAAGCAATGAAGGAGATATCAGACTAAGGGGATTTTTTTTATTTTTTATTGCAGTGGGAGAAGGAGTTGCGGGGGGTTTGTTGCAGGGTATGTGGGAAAATGGAAAAAAAAAAAGATAAAAAGGAGAGAAAGAAGGATTTGAAGATCTCAGAAATCTGTTCAAAACTTCAGCTGGCATATGGAGTGATGAAGACACCAGAGAAAATGGCTTATTTTTCCTTTTTGTGTAAAAAAAGTTTGTTTTAGAAGTTTCGCTCTCAAACTACAGAGCTCCTTGCTGTAACTGTCAGGGGTTGGTATGGATTTAAAATGTCAAGCAGTGTACCTCTATGAGCTCAGGGGAGCCTACTGAAAACACTTCAGGAGACTAGTGTTGGTTTCATTGCCTACAGCCTTGGAGGACAGTAGACAGAGGGCTTGCAGTGTGACAATGAATATAAAGATCTCACAGAAGCTCACTGGAATCTAATTAGATTCAAGTTTAGGAAACCACAACATCAAATGTTTGAATCCCAAACCATAATTTTGGAATTTTTGTAGAGAAAGTTTGGCTAGAGCAGTGACACAAAGACACACACACACACATATATGCAGGGCGGCATTCAGTTTTCTAAACATGGATGTCTACAGCCACTTCAGATGCCCCAGGGTTTTGGAGCTGTCTGCACAGGGATGACAAATATGATATCAAATCTTCTGGGAGAGCAGCCAGGACACCCCAGAGCACCTCAGGTGGCCCCAAACAACTATGTTTGGCTAACTAAATGCCAGCCTTTAGTATCCCTCTTTTTCAGACAGAATATAACTCAATCACAGCATTTGATTTCAGACCATCCTCCACCCTGGTCAGTGGGTAGGTGAAAGGCCAGAGCAGCCTCTCTGAAGGCAGGGGCTGCAAAGCTGATCCTCGTTCTTCTGCTGGGCATGGCTACATCTGCTTCTCCCCCAGACATCTGTCCCCACAAAGCAAGGTTTGTTTCATAATTCAAGTCACTGACTACCAGGAGGACAGAGAGATTTTCCAATATATTTGAGGATATGTATAGTAAACAAATCAGCTGTGTATTTTAGGAGATAGGTTCAAGGCAGAAGCTGAACAAGGTTCGGTTTTTCCTTGCCAAGGATCAAACTGTTTTTCTGTATGTCAAATGCCTAAATAATCCTTGCCATTTAACAAGCTCAAAGAGCTTTTCAAATATTGCCCTGCAAAACCATCACAGCGTTTTCTACTATTTTTCACCAAAGGACCACAGAAATACCTGCTGATGTTTCTCTGAATTTGTCACTGGTCTTCTTCTTCCGCCATTTCCAAGGTTTAAAGATTTTGCCAATGTTGGAGAGTTTTCCCTTCCTCTTGAAGGGTGGAGTTTGGGATCCTGGGGCTGGTCCATCTGAGTTAGCAATTGAAGCCTTGTCCAAACCATCAACTGTATAAAGAAAAGAAATAAAAGTAACTGAAGGATGGAAAACAAAATAGTACCCAACAGCTAAACTCCTGCACGACCAGATTGCAACAGGCTGTGTGTGCATCAACACGGATTTTTCCTGTTCCAGAAGGCAGTCCTGGGCTTCAGTGCTTCTCAGCACCACAACTGTCCAGAACTTGCATCTTGTGATGCTCATCTGGTGTATTTGCACACTCCAGTGGTTTTCTGTCACTACAGGAGAATTTCTTCCAACATATGTTCGGGTGAGTTTTTCCCAATCCTTGGTGAAGTTGAATAACGAGCTATCATCACATAGAAAACAAAACCCTTGCAATGTGAAAACATAAACTGTTTCTTTTGGGTAAAATTAATCCTTTCTTAAACAAACTCTAAAGATAACTTTTCTGGCAGTGGAATTGGGAACAGGTCTGTTTGATATCCCTGGTAATCAGTCCTTCCCAGCACAGCCTGCCATGAGTCAGGCTTCTTACTAACAAAGCGTATTTAACAATAAGGTTTTGAACTGGAGCCAAAACTTAAAGAAGGATTTCTTTACTGCAAAAACATATAGAAAGATATAAAAGTCAATACTTAGCAAACTTTGAGTTTCGTGAACCAATTAAGACTCATCCCACAACATCCTGTAGCATACAGTTAAAATAGACTACTCTGAGAAATCTACTATTATTTATTTCTGTTGAAGAATTAATGTTTCTTAAAGCCTTCCATTTGTAGTCCTGCAAACACTTCCAATGTGCTGCATTTTACTCCTATGAGCAACAAAGTAACTGCCATTACTTAGAGACACAAAATTAATCATAGGCTTAACTGTTTGCGGCATATAGGCTCTGTAATTGCTTTTATTCATCTAAAAATTCTAATTATAACCAGTTTGGAACAGAGTTGATGCCACTCTGAACAGTAGTAATGATAATCATAGATCATTAAATCAGAAATGCTATTCAAAGAAAGAAATACCAATGTCCCCATTTTACAGATGGAAAATATGAGGCACAGAATTGTTAAGTGCTTAATTTTATGTTTGCCAAATAGCTTCCTGAGTCCTGGTCCTGTGACCTAGCTGCTAAAAAAATACATATTCAGCCACATAATATCATGGTGCAATCTTATTATTCTGTTTGTTCTTATTATTCTATTTGTCTGTTTCTCAGACAAATGACATGTAATGAATCCTATACTTGTCCTAGGCTTTAGATTGATCCAGGATGCTAAAAAAAAAAAATCTTTTCTGTGAGAAAGCTGATATAATGCAAACAGAGTCCAAGAAACTTTATTTCCAATGTTTTGAAATAAAGTACTGGCAAGAAAGATTCATTGTATAACTTCATTGAAGTCTATGAAGTTAAAACTAGTGATAAACTTCCTCACCTGTGAGCCCTGGAGAACAAGGAGAGAGATTTAAACGGAGACTGCCTGAAAATGAAGCAGATACCCCGCAACACATCCTGAGAAGCCAGGAGAGAGATGACAAGATCAGCAAAGGCAGAGGGCAGCTTTGCAGAGAGGCACAGGGCAGCACAAGGAGCCCTGCACGGGTGCCTTGCCTGAATTTAGGGACTGCACTTTTGTCCAGGCTTACAGACACTGCCTATGGAGTGCAGTCCCCTAAGGAATGCAGAAGCCTCTGCTGGAAACTGTGGATCTAAGGGAGAATTACAGTTATTTGGAGTGTATGTACAAAGACAAGAGAGCAAATATTATCTTTGCAATTCCAGCTGACATAAGAAGGGATGTGTGCCACAGTTTGCAGCCAGGAAAAGCCAGGTAAAAGAGGTAAGGAAAACACCACCAGGAGTTGGGTAGTGCAGCACTGGAACAGGTCCTGGAAGGATGTGAAGGCTCAGCCAACAAACCTCCAAAGCTCCTTCTGGGGCTGTCCTCACCTACTGTCAAGGAACAGTCCTGCTCCAAGTAACCTCCTGAGTCCCTCCCAGTCAAGATTCCCACGGTGCTATGGGATGCAGAAACACATGGTTTCTCTGTGAAATCAGCACCAAATACTCAGAAGTGAAGCCAGGAAGAAAAGAGACCAGGATCTGTTGGCTGTAGAGTCCTGTCCTGGGGCAGGAGCCAGGCAATGTCTCACTGGCAGCAGCAGTGAGATATCAGCTCAGTGGAGTGAGAGGCTACCCACCCTTGAGGCAGCAGGGCAAAACCCATGCTCTTCTCTCCAGTGGCTCAGAAAGGCTGTGCTACTGGTGTGGAAAGCTGATCTTTTCAAATGTTCCTGAGTCATGGAGTACAGCCCATTGCAGGAGACCACTTCCACAAAAACCTCATCTAGATGTTTTCGCCCTGTGCCTAGCAGCAGAAATGGAGGAGAATTAGGGCTCCTATAGGTCCCCACAGAGAAATACAGATTTGCATTGGTCCCTGTTCTGCCCTCTGCTGAAAACTGGTAACTCCAAAATAATCATATTCGTCCTAGCTACAGAGATCTGTCTGCTTCAAACTGAGCAAATACATGAAATTAATGGAAAATAATTCTATTCAGGAAGATTGAAACTTTTGAAAACAGATGTCAGCATTACTTCCTTCTGACAATAAAAGGCAAGGAGTTGATTTATCTAGTGAGTTCAACAAGTGTTCAAAATTGGGAATTTACTAATCCATGGACCTTGTACCAACCCCCTCATTTGAAATACGTATTTGAAAAGAAGGAATAAGCAGAGCCAGATATCACAGCCTAACTTTAGAAATAATCTAAGATAGAGTAATATGTCTAGAAAAAGGAACTTCTTTATATTCAAAAGTACATATATTATGTGTATACATATATATTCACAAGCAGGTACATTTTATCAATTAATAAACTATTTAGAAAAAAACCCACCATTTCAGCAAATACATTTCAGAGCATTTATGAAAAGATTTTTACAAAAGTTATTACTCCTCTTGTTTGAAACACTCCACAGGAAACTGATGCTTCAGATGCACACTATTTGCTTTATAGGCCATGTACTACTTAAGAATAAAGTGGTGAGTTTTTCACCTCAGAGACCTTATATACCTTCTATTAACCATTATACACATTATACATATTCACTGAGGGGAAAAGAAACATCTTAGCTCTCTGAGGTTTAGAGGAGCTTGCTGACTTGTGTTACTCTATTATTTGTGTATACAGTGTCTTGAAGTCCTGCCTTCTTCACAAAGCGAGTGAGTCACTGCCTTGCCTTCAATAAACATTATTAATACATTTGACACTAGGACTTCTGGCTATAGTACCCGCATAGTTTACATGACCATATTCCTGTCCTTTGCCCTAGATGAAAATTTTCCAGCTGCAGGATCAGCCAGGTGCACAAGAAGGACAAGAAGTGAGGATATGAATCCTGCACATCGATGTCCCAGCATGAGGAGATCTTGCTGCAAAAGGCCAAAAACGAGGCTAGAGGAGATGCTGCAAAGCCAAATCGTGCCACATGGGCTGTCAATCAGCCCATGAAATGTACAAAAAGAACAGCCCCTCCTCAAGCTTGTGAGCAGCCAGAGAAGATTAGATCAGCCTGTGGATGACCCTGACTTTCCTACAAATGCTTAAGGATGACTGAACATGTGTTATCCCAGGAAGGCTACTTGCAGTGAGCAGCGCAGGTCTCTGCAGCTGCTGAGGAAACACTTTACTGCTCTGAATGATCTCCAGAGATGCTGTGTGGCTGAGGCAGGTGTGTGAAACCATCACAGTTTTCCCAGGGCATGGTACACCTTGACACTAAGACGTCAGCACTGGCACACGCTAATGCTTTTTTCACATAAGTACTTACAACTAACTTTATAAGAGCAAAATGCAACAGAAGAACGACCCACCAGATCATTTCAAGCAAGTCTAATATCAATTATTGTGAACTAAACAGTGTGTTTCTGCTGGTTCCATGCCTTGTGATCAGAATGCAGCAAGACTATTTTTAAAAGAACTTTGACCTAAAGAAATTAATGATCAAAAGAAAAGAGTAATATATTTATGACTTTAGATGTTATGTATATTTTTCTTGTGTATATTTTTTCTCTTGGCAGTGAAAATGAAAAGCCAGCAGAAGAACCTAACCTGCGCTCCCCTCACCAGTACCTTTCTACACAACTGATCTAATCCAATCCTGCTGGAGTACTGGTATATATTTAAGGGATTCCTTCTCACACCAGGGCTGTTAAGTACAAGATGGTGCCAGCAGAATGTCAAGCTCTCTTCTTTCCCCACCATGCTGCATCTTTCATGCTGCAATCCCTTCTCCCACCCACATCAACCAAGGCTTACCCACCTGTACTGCACTCTGCTCTGGATCCTTGTCATACAGCAAGGTTAAGAGTGGCAAGATGAAGGAAAAGTCCTCCTCCTATAGCTGGACAACATAACCAAGAGGGAAAAAGGCACAGACTCAAGTGCCCCACTGATATCAAGGCACTGAGGTAACACTGGTACCTAATACTTTCACTAGCAATAGTTCTCTTGCAGTTCTGCCATGGTATCACTCTTAAAGCATGTGAGGAAAACCTTTTCATCCTGTCAGAATACAGGTGACTCAGGGTATTGCCTCATCTAACCATGAATGAATTGAGAAATGCAGCAGAAGATGCCTTGGCCCCAGTTCAGAGTTACCTTACATGTGGATTTGGATAAAATTTATGTGCTTATTAACTACCAGTTAGCTAGTACAGTTATTTTTTTCTCTTCCTCCCACTGCACCCTGCTGCCTCGCAGAGATGTGCTGCAAAAGTCATCTTGGTTTATTGAGACCTCAAAACCTCTTCTGACAACAATATGATTTTCCAAACCATCTTGCCAGAGGGCACAGAGTTGGAAATCGTGGTTTTTATGCCAGCAGAATGATGACAAGGTTTTGCAGCTGCCTATTATCCCCAATTAGCAGTAAGTCCTCAACTTACTATAGAATATAAGCTACTTATTCCTCGAGCTTACTGGCAAACTTCAAGACACTGCATGATAAAAGGTCTGACGTAGTCATTAAAAATCAGAAGTC